ACACACACACACACACACACGTGCGCGTGTATGCGCACGTTATATCTTGATTTATTTAAATTATTACTTAAAATAGTGAAAGAAATAATTTCGTTACCATAATCTCGTTAAGATCAATGCTTGCGGCAAGTGGTCCAGCATTAGGTTCTCCACTAATAATTGGGATAATGATTGCGACAACCGTAAGTACAGCAAATAAGAAGATTATTGCTTTCATGTTTGTCTTTCCTTATGTAAAATTACTATGTTCTGCGATCTTCTTGTCGCAACTGATTTTGATCTATCTGCCTTACTTATTTATAGGAAAATTTGTACCTAAATATCAGCGTAATAAAATATATCAAAGATATAAAATAAGACACATAAACCTTTATTTATTTTATTAGCTATAATAAAATGTATCACGCATCGTGAGATATGATAATTTCAAAATATCTGCCAATAAAAATGTCACATTTATCACACTTTTTATTATTATGACATATCATATTTTGATAAATATAACTATAGTCTGACATCATACGTTGTAAAGTAACATTTGAGTGTCATAAACACTTATGGAAATACGAAAAATGTCGGGCGGCGCGATTGTGCTTTTTTTATTTTATATTGAAAAGTGCTAAGCAATAATGTTTTTATTATTTGTCATTTATTTGCTACGATTTTAATTTTTATACAAAAATAGTATGACTAAGATTACGAAAATAAAAGTTTCACTTTAATAAATCTTTTTTGAATTGTAATATTAACGTTGCTAGAATTCGAGCACACCAATTGAGTCTATTGAAGTATCACGTTATATAGAATAAAAATTAATTTGAAAGATTATTCAATTCAAATAACATAGCGATAACTATGACATGGCACAAATTAATACATTAACAGTTTAATTGCAATTTTGTGAGTCAAAAAGCATTTATTGTTGTTGATAAATTAACAGTTTAATACGATCGGTAATTGTTTGAGATACACTCAGCCAACCTTTGCAAAGAAGTCGATAAATATCATACATACGTTAAACTTGTAATTGTCTAACTCGATGATTATATTGTATAATCCCAAAGGAAAATATAATAATTGTATCTTATTTACATAACATAAATACATCATTTATTTAAATAATACAAATACATACTTTTTATGTGCACAATCCAGATTAAAAATTAATGGTTTTGTTTATATTGCAAATTTTAATTTAATGTTTAATTATAACTTTTTAATGTTTATAATATTTACTAATTTTATCTAAAATTTTAATATTTTTTAAATCTACTAAATAATATTTGAGCAACACACATTTACACATTTACACATTGATCCATATTTTACTTCATCATCATCCGACAGTCATCGGTAATCTTGACTGTAGATATTTGCTTTTGCACAAATCAAGACCAAGTGAAAGTAATATAATGTATAAACTGAGCAGAGAATATACATTGGAATCTTGTAATGGCTAATGACAGATCGGATCTCATCGACCCTGAACTTGGCAGTTACTGTGCAATTTCATACACGTAATCTCGCAACAGAGACGCGTCACGCTCTAATTTCTCGCGCAGACTTCTGTCAAGCGAAATGAAACGACATGTTACGTTCCCAATAAAAGATTAATCAGGAGATTAATGTAATCTTGTAATTACTTTAAAGAGATTGCGTATTTATGAATTTTAGCTATATATAACTCCAAGAATTGTTCCGTTATATTAAATTTATTAAAAATTAAAACATATGTATTACAGTATGAATAGTTTAAAAGTAAATTAAAGGCTCTCTCTATATATATATATATATATATATATATATTTTATAAATATTTTATTAAATTTGTTATTATTAATGTTACAATTATTAAAAATATTTATTCATTATTACTTAATGTTAGTAGGGTATTCTTTAATACACTAATAATTTTTTTAACCTAAAACATCTTGAATTAATTGTTTATACCGTAGACATTATTTAGAGTTGACTTTATCTTAAATATAAAACAAAAATATTTTAAATACACTAATAACGTATTATTGATTGTCCAACTTGATATTAAAATAATGCATCAACAAAGATATTTGCTACATATGTCAGAATATATTAAATTACAAACTAAATGTTCTTTGGAAATGGTAATTAACAATAAAACTGATATGATTTGCAATTGCGTTTATTTTAAAGCAAATGCTTAACTTTTCACACATATATATAACATGCTAATATGTCACATGTTAAAGAGAATTTATTATATCTAAGGTATCTACTAATGTTTTTCGAAGTTGTATTTAAATAATTTAGTAATGATGAGCTCAGTTTCATCAACGATTTGTCCTGAAATATAAATATATATTTTTTAATAAAGATATTAATAAAGATATTAATTTCTTAATTAAGCATGATTTAAAAGTAAAAAAATTGTAGTATTATATTTCTATGTAAAGATTTAAACAAACTTTTTTAATTGTATATTTAATTTCTATTTTAATGCATTTTATTGCATTAATTATAGATTATCTAATTAAATAATAATTACTTGAATGATGATTTTTATTATCGCAAATGATAAACAATAAATATATTATTAACTAATATTGCAATATTAAAGCAATCGTACAAAAAAATGGCTTATATATGTAAAGAATATTAAAAAATACCTTTAAGATGTATAATTAAAACAAATTAAATTATATATAATTAAATTAAATTAAATCAAATTAAATCATTTTACACATACATTTATGTATTTTTAGCTGTAGTTATTGCTGTAGCTATTGCTGTAGCTAAAGCTTCGGCAAGAGCTTCGGCGATAGCCTCAGCAGCTGCTTCGGCTTCTGCAGTGGCAGTTGCAGTAGCAGTAGCATCTGGATTAGCTCCAGCAGTTGGAGTGGCAACAGCTTCAGCAGTTGGAGAGCCGTAAGCAGTAGCTTCAGCAGTTGGAGTAGCAAGAGCAGTGGCTCCCGCAGTTGGTCCTCCATTAATAGTTGGGATGATAATTGCGACAATAAGTGCAAATCCGCACAAGAGGATTGTAGTCTTCATATTGATTTCTTTTGTTTGAAATTATTTTACGTTACGTTATGTTGCGTTATATTGCCTTTCCTTAGCTTGACTGAGAATTTATAGAAAAAAATTGTGCTTTATTATCTACGTAATAAAGTATATCAAAAGAATAAAAAAATAGTGTGATATTAATTTTAAGAGGATTCTAAAGTAAATACATAAGAAAAATTGACAAAAATATAACATGTATTACAGTAAATCCATGTTACATTTAATCAATAAAACAAATAAATAAAATATTTTAAGATCCTCTTTATGACGTAAAGAGAATGCATTAATTTTATTAAATCTTTATTACTGTCTCATAATGTTTTCGTGACGTCAATGCCTCAAAAAGTTATCTTCAAAGATAACATTTTCTTTATGTGTTTATCGATATCTTAAAATTGTTAAAAATTGAAAGAAAATTAGTGTATTTGTACGTTTAAATTTAATATTATTTAGTAATCGATAGTAAAAGTATTATAAAAAAATCGTCAGAGTAATAAAATAAATTTTATTTTAAATAAGTACAGATAATCTAAAGTTTAATTTTATTGATAAACATTGATATGTTAATATCATACGATTTTATATGACATTCATTGATATGAAATGCAAGTATGCAAGTATGCAAATTGAGTATGTAGCGATTTTATTGCAACTTTATTGCATATAATAAACAAACGTTTAAAAAATTTAATATATACATTGTGAGGTATTATCTACGCGCATTATCTTTTACGTATTTCATGACTTAATATCATTATTTTGTCGGTAATCTAACGATATAGATATCATGAAACTTTAATAAAACAAAATTATATAAAAAATATTACTAATTGATAAAAATAGTATCTTTTCTTAGAAGTATATTAGAAGTATATTGTTCACCTTTTACGATTGTTATTCTTATGATAAATGTAGCTATCAAAGAAACTACGCTTAAAATTATATTGTTAAATAATATATTACTAATCTTTAATAACATTCTATCAAAAATAAAATTTTACTGTTACGCAGCATTGTTAATATGTAAATGTCAAATTTCTCAAATTTTTTCGAGAAAACGTAAAGGCAAACAATAAATAAATTAACTAAAAATTTAAATTTTATTTATTTTTTAATTTATGTAAAATTTGCAAATAATGTTAACCTTTTATTATATATAATATATATTATTTATTCAATTATTAGTCCAATGTTTTAATAATTTTATGCTTCAAATTTGTGATTGTATTTCAAACTATAATATTAATAATAATAATAATAATAAGTCACGAAAATTGTTACACATTCTTACTGTTATCATGCATCGCACAAGCAATATTTAACATAAAAAATATTATCTAAATTCGTGCAGTACGTGCGAAAAGAAATCAATTTTTCTCAAACTGTTATTGTTGTTATTTTCAAGAGTGAACATAAAACTTGCTTTAAGTGTGCTTTATTTAATAAGACAGAGAACAATGGAACTCAACTCAAGAATCCTGGCATTACAAAATTCGCAACTCGGTAACTTTACTATTTAATTCCATTGCAATTATTGCTTTAGTTTATAACAACCGACATTCCATGTGAGATAAATCCATTCACAAATACAACTCAAATGCTATTATTTTATAAGTTGTTAATATTACATTTATATTTAGTAATGAGAATTTTCTAACTGTCAATTAGAAAGAAGTAATATAGAAATTGAGATATTCTACGTAATGCTATATCCAATTTGCTGGATGTAAAAAGTGAAATTCAACTTGACATAAGCAAAAGTGTTTCTTTCTATAAATTAAAAAAATATTAATCTCTGTTTTTTTCACATATAAGATATTTTTATTTTATATATATATACGCATTGGAAATTCGTATTCCGCGAACACATGATCTCGTATATTATCATGTCACTTTTTTGTTTTACTCATTGATAAAGAATTGACATTGTTTATACATTGTTTCTTCAGATAAAGCACGTATCGAGAGCTATATCGCTGAAATTTCTAAATATTAATGATGTCTTCTCTCGACGACGGAAATAATGCATCAACCGCTCGAATCTGTCCTTTTTCTTGACTATACAATAAAGGTTTGAAGAGAAATTTTATTTTATGCGTCATAAAATCACATCTCATACCACGCTATCGTCGTCAAACCATAAATTGCGATGCGTTCGCCATGCATTAGTGATAAATGATAATTATACCTTTGTAGCGATCTTGGTTCTAGACTCGTGTCGCGGCCCACGTGTACCACATGGCTATAAATAATTTTAGCGATGCCCTTGCCGATCTCATCTTATTATGATTATTCATTTATAAATCATGTTATACATAATATTAGAATTATTCGCGATTGGAAATTAAAATTTTTTAGTAAGGCAAAACATAAAATTTGAAAATACGCAGTAAGGTGATATATTTACGAATATCAATTGTTATTACATTGCAAGATAAGTTTTACTAATCATTAATTTATTTACTGATTTGATGAGTTTTATTATTCTTACTAATATATTCGACAATTTAATTAATTATTATACTGCACATAAAACGTTTTCATTCATGCAATATTTTATAAAATATGCGGAAGACATCAAACTTATAAAATAAAATCTTATCTTTACCTTCCCCGAATAAAGAGATCTTTCTTATTTATTTTTAATAATGATCTTTATTAGATTAATAATCAATGATCAATCAAACTTCGATTTTCGCGGAAAAGCACACATCAAAAAGTACATATAATTTGTCAGTATGTATAAAAAACATATGTAATCCATTATATCAAATCTTATTTTATCTGATATGATATGTACAGATGATGCATGTCATAGAATGTTTCCTAAGATATTAAGGTAGCTAATAATGATGAAATATCATAAGAGTGAATCAATTTTATCTTACATTTGCAAATAAATCATAAATCAATTACATATGTTAATTATGAGACTATTTGCGCTCTCCGAATGGTACATACTTGCAACATAATTATGTATTAATATACGTACATTCAAAGAATTTTTACAGTATCTAATTTTAATTTAGAATCTAATTTTGTTGTATCTAATTTTTATTTAGAGTCTAATTTTGTAGTATCTAATTTTTATTTATATGTTCCTATTATGCTCCTTTTATGCAACATTTATTAGAACACAAGAATTACAAAGAAAAATTTTCAAATTTCATCTTGGAAACGTATGTACAAATAAATAACATATCGTGTAAATATTTTGAGATATATCCTAAAAATATAGTTATGATATATCGTGTGGATATCCCGAGAAAATACCTCAATGATATATTATGTAAATATTCTAAATACATCTCGAGAATACGCACATCTTTTAGACATCTTTAAGACGTTATATTCTTTAGAAAAATATAATATATGTTAATAATAATAAACTAAGCTTAAAAATATATAATGTTGCCAATTGTACATTAGTAAAACTAAGGAATCTTATTTCGTATAGAATGTGCAATTCTTTTTTTCAGAAGAACTATATAGATAAACTTTTACATCAGACTAATACTTATTAACAACATCGGTAATATTTATTTTCTTTGAGAATTATATCGATGCGATTTTAATAATGTTGGATGTCAGGTACAGGTTTCGTAAGAGATAAATTTGTTAGAATTTGTGTTTTCCCACGCCATCAGATTTAGTATAAATTTATTTCTGTACGACGTGTGTCCGCGAAATATCGACGTGTCGATGTTCGAGAGACGCGTGATACAACGAGATGTCGATTTGATTCAGGCATCCGCGTTTCGCCAGAGTTCTAGTCTGACAACTCTTGTACAACTGGCATGCAGCTTTACATCGCCTCTCTATGCTCCATCAGAATGTATTTGTATACCCACGTATTCTCTGCGCATTCGTTTTTCTGCATTCTACACGCATTTCCACATATCGCAAAGAAATTCGCGAGGAGAATAAACTCCAATGCTCATAAATGCATGCAAGTACGAATTCCAAGAATCATCATCGCAACGGCAAAATTTCTAAACTAATAAATTTAATTAAAAAAGAATGGCTCATCTCTAGACAAATTATAAAATTTAGTTCAAGACCAACATAATCTCAGAGTGCATATATACAATTATCTTTTTTTTATACTTTGTCTTTATTTCTAACATTTTTTCTTGCTCTTATCTTCTTTATAAACAGAAAAAATTTCCTTAGATTTGGTCTTTTAAAACTAACCAAATTATTGTGTCCAGAGTTTATGGAAAACCAGAATTATGGAGAGACTCATTTTTTGAAAAATTGATAAAAAAATTGATTTTTAATTCAAAGTCTCATCTTTATTTGTCTCATCTTTATTTTTAATGAATTATTCTGTAATACTGAAGATGTAATACTACGATTACGATTCTAACGTCTTACTCTACAAACTTTGATGTATCAAAAATACATCACGCGCTTTCGCCGCATAAATCTAAATGACTTTGATCTATCGAGGAAAGTATAATTAGCGAAACGCGGAAACACGGCTGGGATCCCCGCAGTGGAGCATTTTCTTGACACATTGCTACGTCATTATAGTGCCATAAATTTGCTTTATCTATCAGTTGCATTCCGTACCATTGCAACATGGATGAGATCTGACGGCTGTGCAACCATTTAATCCACCATTTATTGATACCGAGCAGATATTCTTATCTCATCGATACACTTTTATATGACGTGTGATACACGTGATCAGATATTGATGCGTGTTGATTAATTGCTGCGAGAATTTTACGGAATAACTAAAAAGAAAGTAAGATAAAAACACAAAAGCATTGAAACATATATCGTATTTTTAACGTTACTAACAAAGATTACAGTTTACCCAGCATTGCATTGCATTTGCCAAAACAGATTGCATTGTTCTTTTAATTCCATACCTCGTTTCACGGAAGAGTCAATTTCGAGCGAGTAAAAATTTTACATGTAAATTTTACAAGAGTTGTGCGTGTTTACGATTTAAAGGGATGTGTGACGATGCGCAGTGGAGGAAGAAAGAGCGGAGGCGGAGAGATGAGAAGAAAGAGAGATTACCGTTCTAGTGTCTGCGAGAATTTTACGGAATAACTAAAAAGAAAGTAAAGATAAAAACACAAAAACATCGAAACATACATCGTATTTTTAACGTTACTAACAAAGATTACAGTTTATCCCAAGCATTGCATTGCATTTGCCAAAACAGATTGCATTGTTCTTTTAATTCCATACCATCCTTTCACGAAAGATTTTGAGCGAGTAAAAATAGTGTCAAAAAGAGCCGATTTAGCACGGCGGGGCAAAATTTGAAGAAACACGAAGCGTAACGCGTTGACGCCGGGCAACCGGCGGAGGCGGCAAGGATGCGCAAGCATCCGCGAGCATCATTGTTATTCCACGGCTTAAGCGTGGGAAGCGAATACCTTCATGCTCTGACGAACACCCACAGGGTTCTCCCCTTTCACGACGTAATCACTCCCTAGTTTTACCGCAGCTCGTATCGTATTCGAAGTCACTTGAAAAAATAATTACTACCTCTGATACTTTGACGCTCGAATTTGCAGATCGAAATAATCTAAGAAATAATCAAAAAATGATCGGATCGATAACATGATTGTGACGCGGTCCATTTGACGATGATATATATATATATATATATATATATATATATATTGTTAGTTAATAACTAAAACTAAAC